AAGCATTGAGCGGATTGTAATAAGGAAGAAAGACGGATGTCGGAGAGGAACCCAGAATAGCAAATCCTACAAGAGGAACTGGAACTCTAAAGAGAGGCATAACCCTAGAGAGGGACTTTTTTTGCGATACTACATATAATATAGTAATCTTACTAATATCAGTACTACACAAAGAGTATGTAAACAATCTTGTATTCAATCTCTGGCGCTTATAATTAAATATTCTTGCTTTTTATATCCTCTTATATCATTCTTTTTCCTCCAAGCTAAGTGTTGATGCTAAAAAATGTCAACAACAGAAAATGAAGTGTACACTTCTCTGGGTACTTGGTTTACAAGAATAAATATATGATTTTAGCTATACAAAATCAAGAACAAAAACATCAAAGATGAAACTTATTTTTCATTGATATTTTGAGAGAATTCTCCTGCTCTTTTTTCTTGGAGATCTTATTTGGATAAGATTATCCTCTCTCTTACAATAATTGTAGCCAAGTATTTATATGGCATAACATGTGGTCATTGAATAATGATAAATAAAATAATACAATGATATTTTAATGTAATGTTGTCTCGTGGGGCTCAATTATGACATTTGACGGCTTCGATAGACGTTTGTCTTGTCGGCACTGTGCGTCCTCGGAAGATGACTTTATTACGGTATACGGTTCGACCTGAAGATATTAAATTCTGCTCAGCTTGGATGTGGACGACCTCAACGTTTGAGGACTCAGTCAATATTAAATAATCAGCTCGAAAAACTTACTATTTGTATATTTATTTATTATTATTTTAGCCCTCATTTATTTTTCCACGTGTCGCATTTTTATTAATCATGGCCAAATTGAGTATCAACACTAAATAATATAATTAATTACAAATATATATATATAATTTAGATAGAAGAACTTCTCTTTCCCTTAAGCATTATTCCATGTTATTTTATTTTAAAAAATACAAATCTAAATAACCTATATTATCTTTTAGTAATACCAAATCCATTTTTTTTTTTTATCGTTAATGTAAATATATAAATCAAAATTGAGTTCGAACAACCGATGAACAGCGTACAAAAGCGTAATGGGCAACCACAAGTCAGTTCCTCATTGACGCAATAATATATACGAGGACAACCACATGGAAACCCTCAAAAGTCATGAAAACCAAATATCATAGGCCGAGGCACCGCAACTCGGCAAGCACATCTATTATTATATAAAGAGGCAACCTAAAAAATACTTAAACAGTAACTAAAAAATCATTTCAAATCCCGTCTAAAAATTAACTAAACATAGAAACTTTTTTGAATTTTTTCCCAATATAGTATCACTTATTCAACCATTTGAAAATTTAAAAAATTTGAAAGTTTATGTCAACATCCCAAATCTTCATTGTCGTTTTAAATTTTTAGAAATTTTCTAAACAAATCAATTTTAAGACTTTTTTAAAGTTTAAACAAATTCACTTTAACATCTCCAAGCATATCAATAATGTTCTTTTATGGACACTCCCAAATATTATTGCAGCATAAATAAAGTAACTTTTAACATTGAAACAAATTTACTTTATATTATAAAACTATATCAATTTATATAGCCACAATTCAATTTAATTAAAATCGTGATTCATTTACTTCGAGTAATCCGAATTTTTTTTTCAATAAATCGATACATATATTAAGTTTGTTAGTATCCCGCATCACCGTTCATTTCATTTGATTATGCCGAATATTCTGTCAATTATGAAAAAGTATATTAAGTTTGGTCTGATAGTGTGCATCACAAATTGGAAAATAATTCCATTTATTTATCCGATTTTGTAAGGTTAAGTTTTATAGCATGATATAACTAAATGAGATAAAATATTATTTTACACAATTAGATTACACAATAAACTGCTATTGATTATCGACATCTATCAATTATAATTGGTATTCGAAATATTACAAATGATATATTATCACCAAGTTGCATACCATGATATAACCATATGAGATAATTTTTTTTTATTATTCATCAAATTGCTATTGATTATCGACAACTATATATTATAATTGGTATTCAAAATATTACAAATGATCTATATTATCACTAATTAGAATATATCTTACATATTTATCCGAATTTTGAAAGTTCAATTTCCTAACATGATAAAAACATATCACATCAAATATTTTTTAAAGTTCATGATTCCAATTACTATACAACTAATGCGATAAGTACGAACCAATTTTGTTAAACTAATGACGACAAACCTCGAAATCGTATTTACATATTTTCTGAATATGATTAAAATTTTTTATCGAATATAAATAACCAACAAATATTCGATAAAAAATTTTAATCGTCATTTACAATTTTCAAAATTTTAATCGTATTTACAAATTTTATAAATTCTTATATAAATTATAGTTAATTTATTATATGACTTAAAATATAAATTGTACCGTTATTTGCATAATTTTTAAGATATAAATAAAATATGTGTTGTTGGTTAGTTATTTGTATTTCTAAATTTTAATCATATTTACAATTTTTTAAAAGTTTAATCGTCTTACAATTTTTGTAAATTCATATATAAGTTATAGTGAATTTATTATATGACTTCAAATATAATTTTTACCATTATTTATATTCGAAATATAAATTTAAATCCTTTTACACTTTGTCTAAATTCGTATATAAATTGTGGTTAATTTATTGTATGACTTTTATTGGGTTTTTATTTCATTGAATACTTTGGAACTATTAGTTGTTTGATAAATGCCGTTCTATATTCCACTTCAAACTATGTCACATCGTTGATTGACGTAGACATTGTTCCGGAAATGCAAGATTTTTTAGCAAGGTAATATTATATTATTTAAATTATAACAAAATTATTCAAATTTATTATAACATAATTTTAATTTAATTAATTAATTATATTTATTTTAATATGTTATCAACAAGCAAAGTCAAGAGTGTGAAATTGAAGTAAAAAAGCTCCATTATTGTTAAACGTGAGCTTCAAGAGCTGCGGTGACATTGTAAGCTCCATTGATTCTTTCTATGAAACTGATGAGGTAGTTATATTATTCTTTATTTTATATTTTATAAAATAATTGATGCTCAAATTTGTCTTTTCAAAATAATATCGGAAATATATGTTAACTAAATATTTGTTTTTCACTTTTCAACGCTATGTATACATGAGTTTGCTCTACAATAGACTCAATAATTGATGATTTGGCGTATCTTGCATGCAAAAATTGCAACAAGATGGAGAATGTAGAAGGTCAATTAAGTGCAACAAGTATACCCATACACCGGGCTATACTTGCGCTGACACTGAAGATAGTAGAATCGATCAATCCATACATGTCTTCATTGAATTTGACTGAATGTCATACTTATTTAAGCTCTGACAGTACGTATAACTCCAACTCAAATACCAACTTTCTAGCAGAACTCCATACGCCTGAGTTCTTGAATACTATCAAGTGTTATGGAACACTGAATCATGAGTTGCATCTGAAGATAGGAACTCCGGTAATGTTGTTGCGGAACGTGGATCAATCAATAGGACTGTGTAATGAGACACGCTTGGTTGTGCTGAAGCTCTCCTATCATGTTCTTGAGTGTAAACTTC